TGCTATCATCATCATCGTCCGGTTCCAGAACTAAATAATTTTGTTAAAGATGTCCAAAAATGCATTGATGAAGAGGTGATTGAAGGTTTTTTCAATATTTATCATGTAAGTATTTTTCAGCCTCTGTTCATTCGCAGTTTACAAACAGAAGTAGAGAGATACTGACGCATAAAAATCAACTGATGATTTCAGACCACCAACATTGTATTCCCAAGATATAAAGGATGATGGAAGAAGGCCTTACTAATATATAGGGTTGCTGAAAACGAATCGTCCATGAGAAATTATGGTAAATGATCATTTCAATTTGTCCCATTGGGATTGCACCAGTGCATGTTTTAGAATAACCCATTCAGTGTCTGTGCAACACTAGTTCTTAGTCAGTGCAGCGGTAGTTTTCCAATGGTATTCTCGATAAGCATTATGAATAACCACAGGGGTGCGTTCAAGAATGACTCTCCGGTGTGTTGGTTGCACTCCAGTGTTACCTTAGAGCGACGTTATCCCAGTGTGATCCCACATCGCCCCGCTCTGGACTGGGGTAAAAATCGCCCCAAGGGAGCAAACTGTCTTCAAAGCACAACATTACCTTTTTTTGCCGTTTAATGTGATTTCAGAAAAGGTTTTTTCGATGGTTTCTAACAGTTTTTGGTAAAAGTAAAAACAACTTGTTTATTATTCAGAATGATGGGGTTTCAAGAGCGAATAACATGAATAACACTTTTGTTATGGAACTGTGATAAAAGATGTCACGAGAAATGTCATTTATTTCAGTTTTTTCAGCTACGTTACATCTCTGCATTGGATACTTGAGTAGTTGAGTACACTTTTTTTCCATAATCAATTTTATTTGGCGCGTTAGCTTGGGATTTCACTAGAATTTACATGTCAAAGCGTTCAAAAATGACAGACACTAGGTCAGCGTTACAAAGTATGCTCCGCGGAGCACAGGTGTTCCACAAAGCCTCCGCTGAGTGCTAAGTGAGTTTCTTAATCACCTTAGTCTCAATGATACAGAAATATTTCAAAATGAAAGTTGTTGAATTGGTGAAATATCTCAATGATCTGCGAGCGACTTTTGAATCTTACTTTCCTGAAGGACAGAATTCCCAACTGATAATAAACTCATGGATCCAAATGCATAAATGAAAATATATCAAATCAGATCAATGAATCATTTTAAGAAAAGACATCCAACTCAATGAATTTTGGAGCAGGGTTTGTGTTGAATATCCACAAACTGCCATGGAAGCTTTGGATGTTCTACTGCCGTTCCCGATAACGTACTTTTGTGAAACGATATTTTCAGCATGTACAGCTACAAAAACAAAATGGATGACGAAACAGACATGATAATCCAACTTTCGTCTATCAAGCCGGACATCACCGAGTTGATGAAGATTTGAAGAATAAAATGAACTTCGTTTCATCATTCGCATACTAACTTACTAGGTACCTTTCATTGTATGATTATTAAGAAATAATACTGGTATTAAATACTGTCTGTAGGTATTACTTCCAGTCAAGGATTTAGGGTTCCGTTGAAAATTTAGTTTTTCGAAAGGGTTTCGTCACCAAAAAAGTTTGAGAACCGCTGCTCTAGGTACACACCGACTGATGACGTCATTACCCTGGTTGAAAACACTCTAACCTCAGTCCCAGATTCCTAAACGCACCCAAGGTGTATTTGAATTTCTTGGTCATATTGACAGTAATGACAGTTGACATCGATGGTACTGACAACAGATTGGTGCCAACCTAAGAACTATATACAGGGTGCCCGTTTTTCGAGCTAAACCATGGGGATCTCAGTTATTATAAGAGATACGAGGTCGGTTAAATTAGGGCAAAGTTTCGCATTTTCATGCAGAACATTTATTTGCAAGAAAATTCGATGTGTCATTCTCAGTTTTTGAATTATTTGAAGAAAACGAAAATTTGTAATTTTCGTTCTTATTTTTTCAAGCGAAAACAAAAAGACATAGACGTTTCTGACTAAGACAAGGCACTTTTTCACAAGGAATTTGAATCTGTCATCGTATTTTCCATGACGTTCTTGATGCCAAAGTTACAACACTCAACTTCGTTTTTTCTTATGGGCGCCATATTGGATTTTTGCATTTTTGAAAACTATTTTTTTTTATTACAATGATGTATCACACGATATGATCGAATCTTCCCTGTTGATCAAAATTGGGAAAAACCATAACTGAATTCAATTGAATATGCGAACAGAACTGTTGAATTCTTCAGCTTATCCACATAACTCAAGAAGGGTTGCCGAGTGTCTGTCAAATATGTTCCCTGACAAGGTAATTTACAACAACGGAGACATACGTTGGCCAGCGCAGTCACCTGATCTCTCTCCGCTAGATTATAATTTATTGGGAACTATGCAAGATTTGATTTTCAAAACTGTACCGACCGATATTGATGAGCTGAAAAGATCCATAATCAGCACCTTCAGGACTAAGATAAGAAGACGGGACATCTCGTGAGCAATTCTGAATCTGAGGAAACGCGTAAAATCGTGTTTAGAAGTGGAAGGTGGAGTATTCCAGCATCTTTTATAACTTTATTTTGTTTTGTTTTGCGAAGAATAAACTTCTAGCTCATTGCGTCGTTCCTAATTCAAAACCATAGTTTTTAAGAAGATGAGCTTGACGAAAATGTGAACGTTCCAGATCCAAATTCAAATAAACTGTCGAAATTCAGCTTGTTAAACAAAACTGTTGGCACTCTTCGCAAAAATGTTTTTTCCCCAATTATACAGGGTGGTTTCATGAGAAGACTCACATAGCCAAATGGTTAATAGGGGAAATCAAGACGAGTTGATGTATATATATGAAAACATTTTTTGACCCTCCATAACGAAGATTATTATTATGTAAAATTGCTATATAACTTTGATGGCCGATATTACAGAAATGATTCATCGTAATCTGCTGAAATTTGGCAGCGACGTTTCTCTACTGGAACTATTCAAGATAACATTATGAAAAAAAAAATATCCAGGTCCGGACTTGGGAAAATTTCATGATCCATTGTTATGTCAAAAAAGTTCACTTTGTGACCACTTTTCCCGAAAAATTCCATCAGATTGAGAAAGATCAGACAAAATGCTATAAGAACTGCTCTTCAATTTACACGGCACACTTTGACCGGTTCAATGAAAAAATATGGAACAAAGTCGTTCGAATGAATTTTAAATTTCGACCTGGCTGATAACTCTCAGCTTTCAACTGGATTCGTGTAAATTGATTTTTTTGTACATTTTTATTAGATAGAAATTGACAGAAGAGAATAGTTCTGATTTGACATGTTAGTTTTTGACCGAACTTCTATATTATAAATTTGTTATAAAGTAGGCCCTGTGTTTATTTCATGTAAGGTGGCGTTTGTTGATAAGTAAACACTGGTAATCGAAATATTCTTGCACTCTAGGTGCCACTTCATATTTCAAAGGCTGAACAAGACGAAAATTCAAATGCGATTGTATGTTTAATACCATAGAATATTTCCAGACCCAAGAATACGTTGCAGTAAAACCTTCACGAGGATGAACATTAGGAATTTCGAATAAATAGCTAATGCATCCTTATATCACTTGCAGAAGTGTATCAATAACCAAAAATGGAACTGTGTTTATGCGTGATGGCATAACTAATTTGATAAATCACCATAATATGGGCACATGAATCCTCATGTCGTAATTCCATCAGTTGGTACCTACCTAGTACTAGCCTAGTACCTACCTATCAGTTCGGATTATCAACAAACGTCACGTCTCGTCACATAAATGGGAAACAGGGCCTACTAGATATCTTATCATTACTTCAATTATTGAAACTCATAAAACAAAGTCAGGAATAATAATATCTATCCGGAATTTCGATAAAAAAATATCGTGTTTTTTCTTCTCGTCTATACTTCTGTCAATTACTATTCAACAAAAATGTAGGAAAAATCAATTCACATGATACCAGTTGAAAGTTGAGAGTTATCAGCCAGGTCGAAATTTAAAATTCATTCGAACGACTTTGTTCCATATTCTTTTATTGAACCGGTCAAAGTGTGCCGTGTAAATTGAATAGCAGTTCTTATAGCATTTTGTCTGATCTTTCTCAATCTGATGGAATTTTTCGGGAAAAGTTGTCACAAAGTAAACTTTTTTGACATAACAATGACACATGAAATTTTCCGATGTCCGGACCTGGATATTTTTTTTTATTATGTTATCTTGAATAGTTTCAGTAGAGAAACGTCGCTGCCAAATTTCAGCAGATTACGATGAATCATTTCTGTAATATCGGCCATCAAAGTTATATAGCAAGTTCACATAATACCCTGTATCTTCGTTATGGAGGGTCAAAAAATGTTTTCATATATATACATCAACTCGTCTTGATTTCCCCTATTAACCATTTGGCTATGTGAGTCTTCTCATGAAACACCCTGTATATATTATACAGGAAAGATCATATCGTGTGATACATCATTGTAACCAGAAAAAGAAAAGACCTTTCAAATATGGCGCCCATAAGAAAAAACAAAGTTGTGTGTTGTAACTTTGGCATCAAGAATGTCATGAAAAATACAATGACAGATTCAGATTCCTTGTGAAAAAGTGCCTCAAGAATGTCCCAGTCAGAAACGTATAGGTCTTTTGGTTTCTGCTTGAAAAAATTATAAATTATCTTTATCTTCCAATAATTCAAAAACTCGAAATGACACATCAAATTTTCTTGCAGATAGATGTTCAGCATGAAAATGCGCAACATTGCCCTAATTTAACCGACCTCGTATCTCTTATAATAACCGAGATCTCCATGGTAGAGCTCGAAAAACGGACACCCTATATAAATGATCGACTTGATTTGAAACGGGCAGAGATACACATCAGAAATCACTCGATAAACTATGTCTCTAACAAAACAATATACAAAACTACCTGATATATAATCATTATCGAAAAACCCCATCGATAATTCCCCTTATTATTATCGCCTTCTTCTACTACTACTACCGCCTCCCTCGCTGTGTCTGGCGCGGCGTTCGTCATGCCTGCCGCTCCTGCTTGACCTGTACCGCCTCGATTCGCGGTCTCTATCTCTTTCTCGTCTCTGACGACCGAAACTAAAAATATGCACCCGAAAATCAACCCAGCAATCAATCAAGCGAATCATTCCCCCGTTATAAGAGAAGCTATTACTGTCCACGGCAAGTCATTGCTGGGGGGGGGGCTCTCAATTCAACCACCAACCATCATACACAACTGTTTTACCAAACCATATAAATTAACAACCATGTGCCTGACAAATCACAAAACAACAATTAGATTATGGAAATTGCAACAAAATCTATAATGTGTGTAAAATCGACAATGTCTACGAGAAAAACACTCTTCGTGGCAGAAATCGAAAGCAAGTCTTTTTCAAGGGCGGCTCTAATCAGGGCCTACTCTATCTCACCGGGCCGTAGTCTATCCCCTCTACCTCGATGCTGACGTCACACTAGTAGGTTGAGATTTCACATCATTTCATATCGGTGCGTTCGTAATTGAAAGGTTATAGCTCATTTACTTTAAAAATTAGAAGCACACTCAATCGAGACGAATTGATCCCTGATGAACTACCCAACTTTCAGTACAAAAATAAATCCATTAGGATGAACCAGTACCGATTTATGATGTTGTAAACAAATTGAATTTTTATGAAAATCAGGACGTTGTACTACGGAATACTATTTTTTGCCAATATGGAATCGGTTTGAAATGAAATTGACTGAGTATGTCAAACTAGGACAATGCATCAATTTAATAGTGAGAAAATTATTGAGCTACCTACAATGAGTCCGAAATAAATTAGAAATAAAGAGCGCGTAAAAATTTGTCCAGTATTATACCTACCTAATTTCCCCCGTATTAACGATTTCCTGGTGATTTCCTATATAGGTAAAGGGCAATGCACGTTTTATTACTCATGTTCCAGTTGTGGGTCTTTTGATATTTCGAAAACTATATTGAATATTGTGTTGAATAATTATTAGGTATTACATATGAAATATAGCGGAATTTAGTCAAATAATAAGAAAAGAAAAATCATCAGAATTTCCGGATGAATATGAAGCTTTGAGCCCATTTTTTAGTTTGCCATATATATATTTAGTTATAAGTACAAGTTATTTTGTAATTTCTGGCTATTTTTTCTCTTTTATTATGTTGAATATTTCAAGAATGGCTTTCGTTTAGTATTGTGTGTATGAGAACTACTAATTTTTTTGTTTTTTAATTTTCATATTGTCTGTGTCCAGATTATCTTTAGACATAAACGCTGATAAAATCCTCTGAGATACAGTAAAAGTGTATCATATCGATTTGTAGGCAATGAAATTGACTACAAAAAAGTTAGTGATAGCATATATCCACAACTAATAGGTTTAGCATGAGGGCCGTCTAAACTTTTTGAACTAGTCTGTAATAATCATCTGAATCACCATTTTACTCGAATTGAAATATCGGTTTGTTATTGGCTCTTGGAAATTTTGAAAAAAATTAGTCAATCTAGATACTATGCATGGTTGAATCTTTTCTGTGAATTGAATATTGCAATTCTAGCAGCTGTTTGAAAAACGACAATTCTGAATGTGGTCAACTCATTTTGATATGCTCTATTTCTTAAACTATTAATCGTAAATCAGTGAATATTGATTCATCTCTTGAAATAGTCTAGTCTGTATATATTTGATCTCTTGATATTTTTTGATAACTGTTACCGTTTTCCCGTGGTACATCAATAAATTGGGAAACGCAATTTCCAGCGCCTCGATTTTGTCCCTACTAGTGTGACGTCACGAAAGCGATGCTCCGGCCCGGTGAGATAGAGTAGGCCCTGCTCTAATAGGCCTTTACAAAACGGTAACACAGAATACCATAAAAGCAAGATTTCCACACGAAATTTGGCACAGAGGCGTTTTGTACGATGACAAATCAAAAACTGATCCGTCTGAAGCTCCTTAACATTTTGTCTGGTAGTATCAAATTTCTAGTTAAACATTTTCTATTTTCGTCACATCAGGTATCGCCTCTAGCAGCTGTTTCAAGATACTCGAATTTAAATCTTCTATTGAAAAATGAAAATCGTCGTAACTCCCACTAAAATTAGATCACGACTTCTCATATTAAAATCTTCTCAGTGCCAAATTTTCTGCAAAAAATGCCATATTTGAGAGTAAAAAAAATTGAGAAAGTAACAGCTATAAATCCATGTAATTCGGAAATTATTAACTTTAGGATTGTTGAAATTGGTGTTAGCGTCCTGTATAGACCTTTTATTTATTTTCTGCACTGACTGAAGTTGTAGAGCCCAACCAAAAATTTCGATATTTTGATAATGTCACTGGCATTTTTGTGATAAAAGTGATTTCTTATTCAATTTTTTTTTTCGAATAAATGCAGTGGATGATAAACCTTGAGGAATATTGAGGACATACTGGTTTATATGCCCAAGTAAGATTAATTGAAAAGCTATAGCGCTTTGAGGTGCATCAGGGTGATATACTACAAGGTAATGAACTTAAAGCTGTAAAGTATTATTTTGTTGTCATATCTAAATAAGAGAGTTGACCAATGCAGCATATCGAAATCATTTGATGCTTTGTATCATGAGAATTTGAATGTAAAAGACAAGCAAACCGTCAGAAATACAATTATTATCTAAATCAATACGCCAGTTGTACAGAAATTGGAGTTTTTGATCCTCTGTCAATATTGCCTACCTTGAAAAAGACTTCATAAAGTGGGATTACAGAAAGTTTTGATAGGTAAATACAGGTATATAAGTTTTCCTAGGCATTATTCAGTAATTTTGTTTGAGAGAAGCATTTTCAACATTTTTGAGAGTATGTTGACCTAGAAATAAATCTCCCATATTACGTGGATGTTCTTCATAAAAATATACTGTATTTTTCCAAATGGCAACCTTTGAATAAAATTGTTCAAGTGTATGTGTAGTAGGTATAGCGGCTATTTTGTTTGATTATATGTATAAATGTCAAAGTTTGAGAATTGAAAATGTCTCGTTTTGGGTCAACTTTCACTATTAGGTAGTGGGAAAAGTGGAATTATGGAACATATTCCTTTGGTCATTTGTTTTCTTGAAAACTTAAGCCTACATACTATACAAACTTAGTGGGCTAAGTAATTTCCTGAAGAAAAAAAAAAAACAAAACAAAACAAAAACGGGCAATGGAAGAACAAAACACAAAAATAATATCAAAACTTTCTGTAGTTCCTAAAATTTGAGTGGCCGTAACCCAAGAATGGGTAAAATGTATGTATAATATTTCCAGACAAAGACATTCACCATGTTAGACTACACTAATCATAGCAATTACAACATACAGGAATCAATATGCTGAACAAATCATCATTTTGCAGCCGATAGCACAATGCTATTACACAATGCTCAAGAACTACCAACTATTCCATCCAGTTGAATTGCTTTAGTCTACCACGATCAAAATCTTTCACCTGGCATGAAAATAAAAACTATACTGTACCGGTCTGTATCTCTGTCTCTTTCCCTTTTTTCAGGTCTACTATTCGATTCGGGACAGTCTCTGTAGAAGTGCCCGCTGTAGCCGCACTGGTAGCAACGCATTTTTGTGGTGTAAAAACGCCTACCGGAACCTCTGGTTCTCGGTCTGGCATAGCTCACGCGAATCTTGCAACCATTTATCTCTCTGCAAAGAGAAACAATGGGCTAGTCAACTTAATTTTTTTTATTATTCTTCATCTTCAATCGCTGCACTAACGCTTTCAATTTTATCACTTCAATTTAATCTGGGAATGACGATATGAAACCTTTCTTACTTGAACGAATCATAAACTTGTAAACCTTATGACGAAAATGTCTTCTAAACGTCTTTTACTTAAGTTTCATTTTTCGTCAATCTAATTTTATTTTTTGACAACTGTCAACAGTCATTCCAAGTAATTCCTTGTAGTGAAACGGAATGAAAAGTAGCCATCGGAATCGGAAAAGTTGCAAAAAAAACGACACAAAAAAGTGAATCCGGTGGCGAAATCGGATAAATAAAACGCAACTTATGTTCTAGAAGCTTCAAGAATTATTGAAGGGTACGGAAGATCATTCGAGAACGTGGGACAAGCAAATCCTGCCAAGGGATCTGATATATAAAGATGGGCGGACAGCAACCGTCAGTCAGACAAGAGTGTCAAAAAGACAGTCATATACCACGTGATATAAATCGTTTTACATACATAGTAGTTATAAGTTTGTTATAAATTAGTGTTCCTTGAATTAAAATAAATCAGTTCGAGAATACATAGTGTCGTGTTCGCTTCTGCACCCGAATAACGTAACAATATTATATTATATTATGTCATATTATATTCAACTATTGCAAATATTCCTTCAATCATATTATTCAATACATACATTTGATGAATCTAATGAATCGGGATTTCTATAAATATATAGTGTGTGGATACTTCAACTGGAATAAATTCGTTAGTGGGGAGGTGATTTTTTTTTTCTGGCAATTCCCCACATACGTCAACGATTTAATGTATTTACCTACTTTGCAAGCAATAATCAGAATATATCCTTCCAGAGGTAGCTGAAACCACCATAAGATGATTTTTTCAAATGTAACCTTATGGCTTGTGACCCTTCATTGAAAAGCTGGTGGAAAGAGGAATCCAGCACACTAGTCAAATTTTCGTTTTTCATACATTTAAAGGTTGCATAAAATTGAAATGTAATGTTAAAATTAATTTCTTTCAACGTTTCAATCGCTCAAAATGTGTGTTGAACAATTGATGGAAATGTTTTACTACAACTGCCATCTGCTATTGTATATCAGTGTTTTTATATATCCGCTAAAATAAATTTTGTTTTTCTGCTATATTCACAGTTCGAAACAAAGCGTTATTGCTGGTAGAAATGTCCTATACTTAAAGTCGAAATTTTGATTAATAGTAGATTGTTTTATTAGGATCAAAAGTGTCGAACAAAGTCACTTTTGATCCGAATGAAACATGCTATTTTTTCTGCAACCGAAACAATTAACTCAAATAAATATATGAAGTAACCACCAATGCCGTGCCATATGTACGCAATGCAACAAATATTGACAAATAATCCGTGTGGTGAGAATATTCTACCTGCATTAACAGCAGGTTTATTCAATTTTCAGGGATGTTCGAATTGTAGTTTCAATATAAATACAACCACAGAGTGACATATTTGTGTATGGACCAGGTGCTCTATACCGCGCCAGTGCCAGGTATAGGAACAACTACAATAATAGCGATTATTTATTTCTCTCCATACTTCACTGTGTTTGACTTGATAATCAAATGAAACTAAACAATATCGTTGTTTGAGACAAAGTAACTATTGCTTGCCGTGATTATTCAATAACAAGTTATCCATCCCGAGAATCACGAATGAAATACAGATTCAGCAAGTATTTGAATCTTGAAGGCTTCCCTGATCAAAACAAAAATACTTAACTGAGATGTTTATAATTCCAATTCTAAACTATAATAAGGTGTATTTATATCTCCAGCATGGGTATGAAATGCCAAATCTGTCGAAATCGGAAACAAATCAGGTATGCGTCTCAACCCAAATAACCAACCGTCACAATGTTGTTTATTCTTGATGACGTCCAGTAAATCCTTTTTAGTTCCTAGGAACTAAATATGTTGCCTGGCAACATACCTATTTTTGTGTCAATAATAGAAAACGTCAATTTAAGAGCTGATTCTGGTATCAAAATGGACGACTTTTGTGTCAGTTGCAGAAAAAATACGTTGAAAATATATTAAACTTCGGAATTATATTTTGATTTTATGCGACCCCCAAACGTACTGCAAACTGAAATATGATCAGTACGCTGGATTCCTCTTTCAACCAGCTTTCCAATGACGGGTCGCAAGCCATAGGGTTGCATTTGAAAAAAACATGTGGGGGTAGATTCCTGCTACCCCTGAAGAATTATATTCTCCATATTGCTCGCCCAAATGTAGGTAAATACATTTAAACGTTAAAGTGTTTCGCGAATTTTCAAAAAAATCATTTACTCCTTCAGTAGCGAATTTATTCCAGTTAAAGTCTTCACCCTGTATGTGCATTAGTCAATTAGCTCTCACATCTTGTAACATAATTATACGTCATTTTGTAACGTCTCAGTCTTATCTGGTAATTTCAATATTTTGAACACGCTTGTCATCAACAAAAGCAAAATAAATCTCTTTTTTGTGACTAATTCCCCGAACGAGGTGAGTTCAGACGACCGCAAAATGTTTATTTTATTTAGTTTACGGTTTAGTTGTAGGTGGAAAATAGAATAATAAAGCTTCTGTTTTCAAAAGAAATTTTCGAGTGATCAAAAGGAGATCATTCTTTGCATAGTATAAGTATAAATAATTAGTCAACAAATAATATATCTTATCAGCCATGTAGATAGTTTGAATGTAGATAAGCTATTTTAAACTCCACTGCAGTTTAGAAACCAGAAATATTATTACTATCTACAGATTTTTCAAGCTTTGAGAATAATAATTACTCTTTTCAAGGTCTCCTTGAAAATAAAAATGAAAAAATACAGGTTGATGTGGAATAAAACAAAGTATTTCAATAAAGAGGGAATGAAATAATTGTAGAGGCAATTGGTTACTATTAAAAAGATTAAAGCACTTTGTTTATATGTTATTTGATCATTTCGATTGACGAAAATTCGATAGACAGTTTCGCCATATTTATTTTGGAAAAAATGTCTCCTGCGCCGTCATTTAATAAATCTCCACTTGTGTGTCATTGAAAAAGGAAAATTTTGCTCTCGAAAATATCAGCAGGGACCCATTCAAAATTCTGGACCTATGTGTATTTGTTTTTAGAAACTATATCTTCATCCAAATGTCAAAAGTCTAAATGGCCCTGGCCGATGATTTCCTTGTCACCTGCTATATTCATTACAAGTATCTGCAAGCAGTTCTTCCTTTTCTCTTGAAAAACTAGTACAGGCTGTCCCATTTTCGAAGTCCTTACGGGATATCTGTATATTTTTTTATATTTGTATTATTGATTCTTTGCGCTCTCCAAAAATATATATCATGATATTTTGAGTATTAGTCTCGAATTTGGATAATTTTGAATTTTTTACTGTATTTCTTACATATTAAACCTGTTGCTGACAGAGTGTTTTGTCATACACTAGTTTAAATTTTACCAACATTCATTATTTACCAATATTCAGCACTATTTATTGACCATAAAAAGCTGTGGACACCTAATAAGAAGGAATGAAAAAAAAAAGGAGTGCAAAATGTTTTATAATTATTCTTGTTGCCTGTTCACAAATTTTTCATCAAATGGCGAATTATAATCCAGGATATCAAAACTATAACGAAAATTTAGAAACCAACTTATATTCCAACCATAATATAAAGGTAATCCTTCGTAGTTTTTATATTCTGGATTATTATTCGCCATTGTATGGAAAATGTGACACGTAGTCAGGTGACAACAATTATAAAACATTCTGCACTTGCTTTATTTCATTGCCACCTACTAATTAGGTCAACAGCTTTTATAGTCAATAAATAGTGTTGAATATTGGTATTGAATGTTGGTAAAATTTAAACTAGTGTGTGACGAAACACTCTGTTAGCAACAGGGTAAATATAAAAATTCATGATATTAAAATATCAAAAATAATGCCACACTTTTACACGGGTCAATAATAAATATACTGAAAAAATGTAAATTATCTGAATGGGCTTATATCACAAAAAATTTTTATTCCATAATTCGATAGAACTCACCCAAACTAGCTCACCACAGCAAACAGTTTATCGCTGTGAGCTCCCTACGTTTTATAAAAAATTATTGAAATCCCTGATTTTTCGGACCTCTGAAAACGAGGCGATGATGTGACGTCAAAACCCTAATACTGAAACAGGACTATTCCAGACAGAGATGGATGATACATGATTTCTGACAGAGTGAATTAGCGCGAGATCACAGTTGAAAGAATTAATATCAGTCTCCGTCCGGCGTTTGTTATTTTCTTTTAACTATGGCGAGATGAGGTTTCTACGTCATAAGAGGGTCCGTTTTCAGATGGTACTATTATTTATGTCCAAAAATTGAACATTCCAGTAAATTTTTCGATCGAATGATGTCGTCAATCATTATTTATGTATGAAAGGATCATTATAAACATGGTTTGAGTTAAAAGTTCTACCAAGGTGTACACGCCCATTCATGGCTAATACTCAAAATGTCATATAAGTGTTGTATATTTCTGAAAAGCGCAAAGCATCAATCTTTCAAATAGGAAAAAATATACAGGGTGTTCCATTTAAAAAACATAACTTTGGGATATATCTAAATAATAACAGCTTATTTCGAAAATCTGACTACGCCACTGGATTTCACGTGAAAAACTGTATAGTGACAGTTTTTAGTTTTCCTATTGAAAGATAGCTGAGATACAGGGGGGGGGCGGAGCAAAATGCACCATTTTCGATTTTGACACAAAGTGGGCTATGAAGTTTCACAAAAAAGTAGCAAACGTTCGCGAAAACCGCAAATCTCTATCTATGAAAATAAGTGAGATATCCCATGAGGACTTCAAAAATGGGATAGCCTGTACACCCCTATACAACATGGAAATGCCATACTATCAATATGATTGACCTAGAATCTGTTCTGGTATCCAGAATATTGAACATTTATGTAGGCATGTGTGATATGGGGTTAGAATGTTTAGTTATAATGAAAATTCTGACATAAAATGGTATATTGTTTGACGAGCACGGAATGATAGTGATTTCCCACAAGAATGAAGTTTGCAGCATGAGCCGTAGCCATCTGATTTCCTCTCAAGTAATACTCATCTATTAGACAGAGCTGTCATTGCTTGAAATTTGACATTCCATGGGCGATGAGATTTTCTTGAAATAATAACACAATGGTGTTATTGTGATATCAGATACGAAAATAAAATTGATGTTTGGAACACAGTAAAACAAGAGCAATTTTGTGTTATAACCGTAGAAAATAGATATTTACCTAACTACTTACATATATTTTTTCTAATTTTGATAAAAATTTCGCTTGAACAGATATGACCTTTTCTACATGGGTTCTACCGATTATATTCGCGGGAATCAATGTCACCAGGTGGCGCTCGGTTTTCATCGTTCCATCTCAAAGCCACGTCAAAATTGGGGGAAAACGAACTCAATCCTCACTCAATTCCATTAGTGCCATTAGCTTGTGTACTGTGTACTGATAAGAGAGATAAGTTTTTAAATTTCTTGACATTAATTGTCAATATTCGATCGGAAACGCTAATAATGTTGTAGATGTTCTTTTGGCAAATATTTTGCTCTATTTAGATGGAAAAAGCCGACCAGTAGTGGAAGGAGAAGCAGTTCTCCGTGCTAATCATGTGATTTTGTGTGAAGCAGAAGACTTCAACAAAAGGCAGATTTTTGCACTTTGTCTACAAACTTCAGCGATGAAATCTTCCCCACATGAAGTAAAATTGAAGTTGGGGTCCAGAGGAACTCCTGTAGAACAATGGATTTGTATTTGTTCATGCAAAGCAGGACAATCTGGGTATTGTAAACATTGATTTGCTCGTCATAATTAGTTTGAATTGTTAACACTATCTCCAATTCTTCACCCGTTCACTGTTCACTAAAATAATAAATATGTAATATTGTAAAAAAATTAACCAACTCAACCATCATCACTACCAACAGTGCCAACACTTTATGTCATTGACAAGTTTGACTACAGCTATAGCAAGCTGAATGCAATGTAGTCTATATGCACTTTATCCATAACAGTTTGTTTTCCCCCAGTTTGAAGTTCGTATTATGTAACCTAGATGTCGCCCACTTCGTGAATCTCGCGAATACAAAATTCAGTAGGCAAGTAGACTTTGCCTGTCACTTTGAAGTATCCGCCAAACAATAATATGGTCACAAATCAGCGACAAAATGGATTCGTTTGGTATTTTAGTGATTCAAGTTCAGATTTCCCAAATGATAACGAGAAAGCAGCATAAAATGCACTATTCTCATGGTCCATCCATATTTTTATTTCGTAACTTGCGTTAAAATGAACATTTCATCACAAGTTAAGAAACATTTTACTTTAAGCAACTGGTTACGTAAATTAAGTCAAACTTCCGTCATTTTTGAAGTGTCAGATTACATGACAAAACTAAAAAAAAAAACTTACATTCCATCTGTAGCAGTGAGAGCCTCAGCAGCTGCTTTCTTCTCTTTGAATACAGCAAATCCAAAACAAGGGATGCTATTGGTCATCCACACCTCCTTCAATTCTCCGAATGGAGCAAATATTTTCTCCAAATCAGACCTTCTGACTTCATCGCCTATGTCAGCAATATGTAATCTGTATCCATCTAGTTCACTGCTTTGACTTCTGGATCTAGATCTATTCGAATAAATTCGGTTTGTCCATCATCATTGAAATATGAAGATACATATGGTTATTTTGAAATATGTAGTTGATATTGAAATATATTTTTTCCACCACTATTAAACCTACCATTATTTAGTCCTTTTCGATGCATGGTGTGTTTTTACTACCAAGGTAGTTTTCGTTATTTTATGAACCACTAGCCACCTCTGTTGAAATCAACCCAAATTCACTGTTCTGATGCGACTTCGCAGGATTGGCACTCGGATCTAGTAGGTATTTATCAGTAACGACATAATATATGCTGATGTCATGGTCATGGCTACTAGATTTTAATTAGAAATTGGAAAGAAGTGCTTTCATAGTGATAGCGACAATAGGGCTGCTATATTTCAGTTTCACAGAACTCAAATGACTTAAATGTATTGACAGTGGTGGAAAATAGTTGATTGTTTTATTAGGACCAAAAGTGGCACTTTGTTTGACAAGCGAATTTTGCATTTGCGAGGCGGAGCGTCTAGCGAAGCCGAGTTCAACGTCAGCTCCTGGGAACTAAAAGTTGCCAAGCAACACATCTATGTGTGTGTAAATAATAGAAACGTCAATTCAAGAGCTAATTTTGGTATTAAAATGGACGACTTTTGTGTCGCTTGCAGAAAAAATCTTATATGCACCTTTGTAGTAAAGAAAATTATTACCACGGGACCCTCCGTCACACGTGCCCCCTCGCGAATCGCGATACTGGCGAATGGGCTTATATCACAAAAAAATTATTTCATAATTCGATAGAACTCACCCAAACTAGCTCACCACCGCAAACAGTTTTTTGCTGTAAGCTCCCTACGTTTCATAAAAAATTATTGAAATCCCCGATTTTTCGGACCTCTGAAAACGAGGCGATGATGTGACGTCAAAAACCTAATACTGAAACAAGACTATTCCAGACAGAGATGAATGATACATGATTTCTGACAGAGTGAAATAGCGCGAGATCACAGTTGAAATAATTAATATATCAGTTGCCTCAGTCTCCGTCGGACGTTTGGTATTTTCTTTCAACTATGGCGAGATGAGGTTTCTACGTCATAAGAGGGTCCGTTTTCAAAAGGTACTATTATTTATGTCCAAAAATAAAACATGGTTTGAGTTAAAAGTTCTTCTAAGGTGTACACGCCCATTTCATTGGTCAGAAGCTGCTTCCCGTTGGATGTTGCCAAGTAGCCAATTTGTATTCTATTATGAATACTTTCAACTAAAAGAAGCATTGCTGCCGAATTTTCAAATTCTACTTGATATCAGGAAATAAAACCGATACAACTAACGTAAATTATATTTTATACATGTATATTGAACTATTCGATGTATGAAAATTCGTGAGGAGAAGGCTCAGCCTCCGTAGCCTTCTCTGAGGAGCTGTCACCTTTGTTATAATTAACCCGGATTATGTTCTGATGCGAGATTCGCAAGAATGACACTCGAATCAAGAAGGTATTAATCAATAACGACTTGTCATATGCTGCCCTGGTCATAGCAAGTAGATTTTAATTAGAATTGAAAATAAGTGATTTCATAGTGACAATAGGTTCATATTTCAGTTTTAAATTCACAGAACTGAGATGTTTATAATTCCTCTGGTGTGCCCACTCTTCAATTGTTTCGTCAGACTAGCTCTCGATATGAACAATTGAATGCGAATTCGGAACGTGGGGTTCTCATATTCGATGATAGATGGCCTGAACGATAAAGAATTCCTTGAAAAATTTCAAAATGCGTTTCGAATCTTATTATGAAGTTGAACATAATTATTTCCTCCTCTCGGGACCTGAAGAGCCTTGCTGATGATGCACAAATCCATTAATAGCTGATAAGAAGCTTCTAGAGACAGGACGCAGAAGAGACAGGACGCAGAAGAGACAGGACGCAGAAGAGACAGGGCGCAACAAATAAACCGTGTGGAAACATCTCGATCTTGGCATATCTGTCACGAGTGTCGTGTATTCAGCATATTCAAAATTTTGGTGTGTGAGGATTATTTGAAAATCCGAACATTCGATTTATTTTATGTACCAAAAGTGAGTAAATAAATTATCATCACAGGATTCTCTTGAGTTGGGACTTCTTGTCGTTCATGAATTCACCATTGGAAGTCGAAAATATAACGCACCGTTCCATTTACAAAAAAATGATAAAAATGATGAAAATGAGAATGTGTACTCAAATGAATGTGTCATGATGCCTGTAAATTTGGTTTGGAAAACTTGCAATTGAGTGTTTCAGAAACGTACAAGTAAGCTCTTAACTATCGTACAGGTTTATTCCTGAATTCATTTTTTCCCAAACGGTTCATCCCAACTTCGAAATCGGGACAACGTTGGATAGAGAACTCAACGGGCTTTCAAAAGATGTGCCACTCCACCATTATTCCCTATACAAATTTTAGGGGTTGTTCACCCCCACAGCTCGAGTGTTGCAGTGACAGTAGTGCATGTAGGAGAAAAAAATGTCCCCCTCTAAACTAAAATCGACCTGTTGGAGGGTTTTTCCACATCTGCGATATTATCACCCAAAACCCCGATGTCGTTTTCGATGGGCCACCTTGTATACACTTCCTCACGCGTCACCAAAAAGTATCCAAAAGTTTGAGATACATATTCGGCAAAACTACTTGACCGATTTGGACGTTTTATGATTTTGAATGACAGGTTCCATTAAGTGGGGAAGTGTATATGAAACTTAGGTAGTGGGGAAGCTGCAAGAAAAAGTGGAACTCATGCAACTTTGTCCAAGCTTTCGGAAAATTATATTTCCATCATCATTTTATAGCAATTAGTAGAGCTGGTTAAATATGTAGTGGAGTACTAACAACTCATTGACGTTGGTTACATTGTTGTTGAAATTAAAATATACAGGGTGTTTCTTAAGTACGTGTAGAAAATTCAGGAGCATGTTGCTGACGTCAAAATAAGAAGAAGTGTTCGTATAAATATATGTCCGAAAGTTATTCGTTTCTGAGATACAGAGTGTCAAATTTGAATTTTTACTTTGGTTTTTTGTTAATAAATTTCAAAATAATTGTGATATCCGAATAAAGTTTGGTTCTAGGGGAATTTTTCAATGAGAATATCAAATGTTATGTTAGTTTGTCTCTTTCGTGGGGGTGGCGCCACCTACATGTCTTCTGAAAAGTCATAACTTTTTTGTTCGTACCTGTATCACGCTTTATAGTAGAGAAATAGATTCCTAAAACACTTTTGTGGAAAATATATTCCTGGTAGAGGTCTCTGCAAGCAACTGTGTTCGAGTTATTGGGATTTGAAATAATCGATGCATTTGAATTTTTTGTGGAGTCACTTGAAGGCCCTAGTTTATACGGTGCCAATAGAAACCGAAGATCAACTTCGTCAACGGATCATTGCTGGATGTGACGCTATAAAAATACACCTGGTATAATGGAACGTGTACGTGGGTCTATGAGACGACGAACAGACGCATGCATATGATGCAAGGTGGCCACTTTGAACAATTACTTTAATCAATTTCCTCAACTAACTGTTTGTATTAATTTGGTCTTAATTACTGTTATTATTATTAGTATTAAATTATAATATCACCCGATCCCTATTTCAAAATGAAATTGAAGAAAAATAATTTCCCTTACTTAATAAATCAATTTTGAATTCCAACTTCTTGTCATTCCAAATTACTTGCATTATTTCAAATCCGAATAACTCGAAAACAGTTGCTCGCAGCCACCTTGACCAGTAACATATTATTTACACAAAAATGTGCTAGAAATCTGTTTTGTACTATAAAACGTGATACAGGTACGCACAAAAAAGTTATGACTTTTCAAAAGACTTAAGAGACAAATAGGTGGCGCCACCTCCACGAAAGATTTATACGAACTTTTCTACTTATTTTGACGTCAGCACATACTCCTGAATTTTCTACACGTACTTAAGAAACACCCTGTATATGAGTTTCACATTTAATTGCTGCTTCCCCACTACCTAAGTTGCATCTCTGATTACCCTTCTCTCAATGTATACAGGGTGTTAGTTGTTAGTTGCGACAAACTTCAGGGGGTGATTCCTTGTGATATTTTAGGAAATAAAGTTTATATAAACATGTGTCCTATCTTGCTTCGTTTTTGATATACAGGATGTTGAAGTTGGAAGTATTAATTGTTTGTATTTATAACGCCCCTGTATAAGCTTTCATGGTGCCAAAATTCAGTATGGTTGGAGACTGTAAAAGTCCCAAAATTTCAGAATGATTCTTATTGAGGTTATTGAGTTATCTCAATGAATGTTTCGAGAGCACCTACATTAAAATTTGGGGTCAAATCGAATTTTTATTTTTTCCGCAAATACTAAGCAAGATAAAAAAGACACAGATATTGAGAAAGTTGATATTTCAATTGTTCAATCTAATAAAAATATGAAAGTCAGAAAAACCAGTGGCGTACAATGATATTAACCATAAATATCGATAAATTAACCCACTGTGATGCCACTGAAAATATTATTTTGAATTTAATCACATCAAAAGAAGCTCCATGTTACATTCAACAAAACCACCGAGTTTCATTGAAATTGGTGAAGAGAAAATTAAGTAATGATTAAAAAAACGATTTTTCATGGAAATATTACACATGTTTATATAAACTTTATTGTCTGAACTATTTCACTTATTCACTAACACCCTGTATAAGAGAGTGACCCATTTAAAAGCGGGCCACACTCATGATTTTTTATTCATGTAGCAATTTTCACGAATTTTTTATTTTTTTTGAAATGCAAGGGGGGGGGGGAATGTGTATTTTGAAGCTATGCGACGTCCATTTTTTTCGAAAACCTCTCATTTCAAACGCTTCCCCTCTCAGCTGTTAGTCATGTGATTTTTTACTAAATTCGGACTGGTATGAATAGCCATCAATATGATCAGTTCTTCAGAGACGACCATCCTGGTGGACAGTGTCGTGCTTTTCTATTGAAATAATAAGGGGTCCCTTTTTCAGAAAATCATGTAAGTTTTTTTTCTGCAAGAAAACTAACTTCATGAATATTAACAATATGATACTATTTTATGTCTAACACACCGTTTCTGAGTAAATAACTATAGTATGTTCATAAAAATGCTGTTTAGATGTGCCTGTTTTTTTTTCAACTAACCCTTCATAGGAATCACATGAAAATTTACATATGACGGTTTTGGATCATGAACAACAATGAGGTAAGTTTTCTTAAAAAAAAAATCCTAATATGAACTCATAAAAAATTGACCCCTTTTCATTCCAATAAAAACGAACGGCTCCAAAAGGATGTATGATCATATTGATGGTAATGATGGTCATTCATTGTAAATGTTGAATATTTTCTCATGAAACTTGGTACAGATCCATTTTAGAGGACGCCGATTCCAGTGGTGTACGTGGATATTTTCTAAAAAAATCACTAGTATGGATTCTGGATTTTTAAGCATCTGAATGTGATCTAGTAGGCCTGGTTTTAAAAAAAAAGTGGACGCCGGTTAGCTCCAAACCACACCTTTTCTCCCTCTACATCAAAAAAGAATCCTGAAAATCACTCCATAAATAAAGATTTATGAGGGTGGCCCGCTTTCAAATGGGTCACTCTGTATACCGGGTGTCCCGAATTTCTCGATTATTTGACAAGATAGTTGAAAAATTCAAAAACTTTATTGAATGGCATTGAAGTACCTTCCTAATGACATATAAAAAAATCCATTATACACTCACCGGCAAAGAAAACCGGCCACCAAATAATTTAGCCAAATTGTTTGCTCTGTAACTTTTTCAATTCTGGTCCGATTTTGGTGAAATTCCGACCAAATCGTAGATTCATGTTTCCAAATGTTAGCCCAAATATTAGTTCCTAAGAAAATCTGATGACTCGATCATTATACAGGGAAAAACAAAAGTTACTTTTGCACCCTTAACTTCTTAACGCCCTGTGGGAAAGGTGAGTGGTTTTACTTAGCTTCATTATGTTTTAGATTGAAGAGTGATCTCTTCTCTACATTATGGTTTTTTATTCACGTCGATAACCATTTTTTAAAGGAAGATACAAGTGTTTCAAGAGAGTATGGATTCTTTATTTACAATAATTCAGAACCATTCTCCATCCTTCTACTTCAATGCTTCATCATGTTTTAAATTGAAGTGTGATCCTCTTTTGTTCCTTCTTCATACAACGGTTCTTGAATAACGTCAATATCTCCTTTTTGAGAGAAGATACAAGTGTTTCAAGAAAGTATAGATTTTTTTAATCTTCAATAACAATAATTCAGAACCTATCTACCTATCTCAGGGGTGACCTCTAGAGGCTCATTCGCCTTCGCCCAGCCTTGTCAGATACTCTTCAAGAGCTACGATTCGCCCTTCGAGGAGGATTTTAGGCAATTCTTCAAGGCTACTTGAGTAATTCGATCAATTCGATGCCACTTCGGTTGAATGCTGTGATTCAATATCGAGGAGAGCATACTCATTATTGACTACAGGTCTGCTTCTTGTTTGTTTTTCGTAATTGATTTTCCGGTAAGTGCTAAGAAAGTAAGGTAGAAATATGTGATATTAATCCTTGAACTTCTTAATCAATATACATTATCTATTATATACTTACTATTCACTCAATGTCCTAGTCATTTAAGAACAATTATTTTTAAGAATTTTATTATTATTGTTTTACATCATTTTATCTTTTTTATCCATGAATAACTGTGAGTTCCATATTTCCTTATAACATCTACAAGGTGTAGAAGGGAGAAAAACGAGCATCTCACGCACAAGGGTTATCTATCCTTTTGTGAGTTTTCCTTGTTTATTTACCTTTTGCATATTCTCATAGGATAAACAAAATGCATTGTGATTTATTATGTAATGCTAATGGTAAATAAATTACAATTACAATTACAATTACAATAAAGTTCATGTAAGTTCTGATTTTTGGTAAAAAAAGTTGAAAAACACCATACTTCCTTAAAACACTCGTATCTTCTTTCAAGAATAAGATATTGACTTTAATCAAAAACTTTTGTGTTAAGAAGGGATCACACTTCAATCCGAAGCATAATGAAGCCATGTTCAATCACGCAATTTTGCCACAGGGCGTTGATAAGTATAGGGTGAAAGAGTAACTTTGGTTTTTCCCTGTATAATGATCAGGTCATCAGTTTTTCAGGAAAATTAATATTCAGGCTAACATTCCGGAACATTAATCTACGATTCGATCGAGATTTCACAAAAATCGGAGAAGGATTAAAAAAGTTACAGGCTGAACAATTTGGAAAAATTTTTTGGTGGCCGGTTTATTTTGCCGGTGAGTGTATATGACAGTTCTCTGGCAGCTACCCCCACATTTTATTTTCAAATGACATCCCCTGTATATTGTGATTGGAAATTACGTGTCACTCAATTTGGAAGGATAGTGTATACTTGGTATTTTTTTTATTATTATAACAATGTTGCTGTTTTTGTTATAATAATAAAAAAATACCAAGTATATGCTATTGTTGTATCCTTATAATAGGATGGCACGCAATTTTCAATGACAATATACAGGGTGATTCAGGTTTTAAAGTACAAACTGAGATGGGAGATAGATCTCATCATTTTAATAAAAAAAGTTTATATAAACATTGGTCCGATCTAGTTCAGTAGCGGAGCTACAGGGGCTCAAAGTTCAATTATTTTTTTCTATTAATTGAAATATCTCGTTTACTTTTCAATATATCATTTTAAAATTTGGTGTGGTCAATACTTCCTAGGAGATCATCATTTCAAGCCATTTAAAGATTTTCAAAATCTACAGGGTGATGCGTTTTTGGGGGTAGAGGATTCTTTTTCCCCCCCCAATTTTTTTGTAGTACGCCTCTGGCATCTTTCATTGATCAGTTTGTTTGGATCGTTCGATTTGGAGACTTTCTTGCCCTTCAATTTTTTTCGAGAAACGAACCGTTTTTGAGATAAATAAGCATATACGTTCTAAAACATGTTAATTTTGCCTATGTTTCACTTAAATTTTATTCTTTGACAAAATTCGTTGAAAATGCAATGAAATGTACTCAGTAAAAATTACAATAACGAGTCCAATCTGGATCAGTAACGTGGATACGGAGGGTAGAAAGTCATTTAAATAAAATTTACGCCAAACAGACAAATTAACATGTTTCAGAACGTATATGCTTACTTAAAAACGGTTCGTTTCTCGAAAAAAACTGAAGAACGAAAAAGTCTCTAAATTGATCGATCCACACAATTTGATCACTGAAAGATGCCAGAGGCGTACTACGAAAAAGTTTGGGGGGGGATAAAGAAGGCTCTACCCCCAAAAACGTATCACCATGTAGATTTTGAGAATCTTCAAATGGCTTGAAATGATGATCTTCTAGGAAGTATTGACTACACCAAATTTCAGAATGATATCTCAAAAAGTAAGCAAGATATCTCAATTAATAGAAAAAAATAGTTGAACTTTGACCCCCCATATCTCCGCTACTGAACGAGATCAAACTAATGTTTATATAAACTTTTTTGATTAAAATGATGAGATCTATCTCCCATTTTAGTTTGTGCCGTAAAACCTGAATCACCCTGTATATAGGAGGTGCCATTTGAAAATAAAAAGTGGGGGATAGCTGCCAGAACTGTTTAATGTAATATATTTTCTTATATGTCATGAGGAAAATCCTTCAATGCCATTCAATGCAGTTCTTGAATGTTTCAATTATCCTGTCAAATGAGAGAGAATTTGCCTGTATAGGATAACTTGGGGCACCCGGTATATCTATAAAAAACACATATTATGTGACATAACATTTTGAGGGTAATTCAATCCTTTACAACTTCTTAATCAAATACTTAGGTGTAAAACTGAAGGTTGAGCTGCTATAAGCAGATGTTTGTCAAAATACACTAGATAAAAGTTATTTTCAAAAATGTTCATGATTCACTAGGGAAAAACTCAAAAACTATAAATGATATGGAAAAACATACCTATTGCTGCCTCTCAACTACTCCATACAAATCTCTGAAGTCAAAAATTCTGTCCTATACCATATCCTCTAAATCCCCTTATTGGGTGTTCATTGACTGAACTAATGTTGATAGAGAATTATTTCATAATAGTAGTATGCTGACTATATAAATTTGATAGTGGGCAGTTCTGATTTTTTCTGGTAATTTAAGACATTATAGTAGGTAATGATATCAAATTGAATCAATTCGGGTCAGAACTAAACTCCTTCATTTAAATACTCCAGTCAATGCATGAAATTAATTTATAATGGGGTGTCTAACAAATTGATAGCTCTATTCTCATATTTTTCTCACAGAACATCAGCTGTAATTCCATCATGGATCATCAGTCTAGTGAAAAGAGTGAAAAAAGTAATGCTTTATCAATCCCAATCCAAAAGCTACCAGATGAAATTCCTCTTATCAAAAATGTTTTTCCTTGGTTTTTACTTTCTGAGGTTTTTTTTGTCCAGATACTATCAGTAGTATCAGTAGCTCATCAGTATTTATTAGTATACCTAATCCAATGAGTTGCTTTCTTACTTTGACTTTTTTTTCAATCAATCAATCCAAAATCTTATTAACCTAGATAGTAAAAACACACTTTATGCCTTGAAAAGGTAGGTTTTATGGCTAGTGGTGGAAAAAAGTATATTTTACTCATAATTGATTACTTACCTTGACATACTAGATCTACTATGGCTCCTGCTCACACTAGTATGAGAACTTTTGCTCCTGCTTCTCCTTGGTGAAGCAGGGGAATTCCTATCAGTATCTTTCATGATGAAATCTACAAAATTCAAAAAGGGATGGTGATATTATTATTATTTATAAACTGGTTTGAGTGAGAGCTCAAGCTTTTTAAACGATGTTCAAGATTCATTAGTATTTGGACCAACGACATGGATTTTCTATGGATTCTCTATGCTGAACTGCTGAACATTGTGAGATAAGGCAGGAATGTACTTAATGTACTCACCAGAGATAAAAAGTTAGAACAATATTCTGACTGCGAGATCCTGGAAAAAAACTCGAAACCTGAAATGCTTAATTATTTGTCCAGATTAATAAATTGATTAATTACAAACGAAATTAGAATTCAAATAGGATACTATAACAAGACACCCAAATCAGAAATGGCAATGACAAATTAACATGAATATTAAATTAAGTTCCACCATTTTATTTATTCAGCAGCCAACTTCATGCCCTATTCTAATTTATGGTGTTTTCCACTGATAAATCGATAATCGATTCAGCAGAGTGTAGTCACGGTACGAACGCGAACCCAATGACGGCTAAATATCTAGACTGTCTACGGTAAACAGTTGATCTAGAGAATAGTTGTTAGGAGTTTGTTTTTGAAGCATGAACAACAATCTCCGCCTTGTACATCATTTATTAATAATTTTGGTCAACGCTTCCTATCTTAAACATCGTTTACTGATAAAACAGATTTCATTGATTGGTCCTCTTCAGATGAGAACTTGATTCATCATTTGAATTCAAGAAACTGTCAATGATTTCATCATCACTTGTCCTTCTTTTTTGAGTTCCAACCACGTTCCAACTGAGTTCCAAAAATTTTCACCATGTTTTTACACACTCAACTCCACTACACCCGTCCGCGTTGAAAAGTGTAGTGTAGAAGTATGTTGTGTACAATACAGGGAGTCCCTGAAATGTCTGAACAAAATCTTAGCACACAGTTCTGAGTTCAGAATAAGCCGATTTTAAGCAACTTACCTCAGTCCGAAATTTCTCCATTTCGGCAAGCATACTCCAAAAAAGTATATCGGAAAATCAATTTTTGCACTGCTCATTAACATAACATAACAGCAAACATTATTTATTTAAAAGAATTTAAATCTGCCGATGCGGCATTGAACACTAACAACCAGAATATTTCGATCAGGGCTCAATTTAGTGAATTTCCACAAGATTTCCTTTTTTGCTTGAAATTATTCGGAAAAGTATTTCCCCAACAAAAAAAGTGAAACACTACACTGAGAAAAAAGTGATGGCAATGGCAATTCCAAACTATAGAAGGACATTTGTGTGGCCACAGTGAAAGGGTGTTCGTATTCGGGTTTAGCATCTGAAAAAGCCATTGCATGGCTACCAATATTAGAAGTGATATACTTCCAAAAATACTGATACAGTTTGAAAAATTCGATTTTCATTTTTCAACTTCACCACCCTGAATTTCGGAAATGCAGCAATTTCGGACGTTACTTTCAATAGTTTCAATCGGCTTATTTCGACCTCAGGAATATGTGGTGAGATTTTGTACAGACTTTTCAGGGAAAGGTTCGTATTTCACGTGTAAAATACACTACACTATGAATCACCTGATTTGGCGATTTTCTGCAGAATCCATTCTCATCATAATAAAAATAAAAGAATGAAGTGGATGTGGCTCAAGATGTGGCTAAAGGGCGCCGTACATTATGCTATTTACCAGCAAGTTCGATGCAATGCAATTTTGAATGGAACAATGCGCATATGCGTCTATGTTATTTCACGGCAAGTTTCATGCAAGTTTCGTAATAGAACTAGTCCTATTTTCCTGCAATTTCAAGGCAAGTTTAGTAAAATTATTAGTAATATTCATCGTAGCATCTCGATAAAATACAAATTTTCTCCATAACGTGGCCTGAAACACCAAATAACCTCAAAAAGTACATTGAAGGCTCAAAAAACCTGAAAATAGTGAATATGAACAAAAAAATATGACAGAAATATCTCAATGTACGGCGACTCGCAATAAATTGAGAAAATTGCGAGAAAATTGCATTACCTCAAACTTGCTGAGAAATAGCAAAATGTACGGCGCCTTAATGAAAAAAAGAAATAAAAGTGAAGAGAGACGTGTGACATTTGACATTCCTGTTTCCTGTCAAGTATCAGCAATGTCAGCAGTCAGCACAAACATGAAGTTGTCGCTGTTTTTGGTTCTTGATCTCGAATCTCGAATGTACGATCGTTGCGCTTTGGTTTTTGTTAAACGTTGCTTTTTGTTCTCATTTTCATTGTGGGAATGAAATATAGTTAAAATTTTTGGAATGTGAATTATAATAGTTGCATCTTGTCTCAGGAATTTCTGAAAATGAATGGTATATTTTCTTTATTAAAACTACACAGTTGTTTTTAGAATCATTGTTTGCTTCATTTCTAGATCTTTTTATGTTCTCAAAATTGTTCTCAATAATAATGATTTCTGCTCGAACTGCATATCATTCAGATTTATGTGTAGATTCCAAGTGAGAGAAATGATTCATTGACCGTTTTAGTGTATAATACCATGCCGGGTGTAGCTGAGATGGGGATGGTTTGGATGGGTGCACAACAGCCGTCTTCAGATGTCCCTATGGGATTAGTTTCTGGAGAAAGTAATGATATGCTACTGGAACATGATAACATCTTCTATACCCCATCCCATCACAGCATGTCAGGACAATCAATGGATGATATCAATACTGTGCATAGTTCTCAAATGGTAAGTTCACCAGGAGTGGTTTTAGGTGATAATTTACACTCTGGGGTAAGTGAATGAGACATATACATTAAGGTACATTTTCATATTTGCCAAATAGAACAAAAACCATGATCCATTCCCATGATTAATTTTAATCAGAATTAAGTATTCATTTCCCAGTTATACTAAAAGGTGATGAATTATAGGTAGTTTAAAATGTAATCTATGCACATTCATATTTTTTAATTGTCCATACCATTATAAGTTTCATGAGTAAAACATTGTAATGTGTTTGATAATACTTCTGACAGTGTTTTGAAGGTAGTGGTAATCTTCTAGTAATTTGCTAGGATGTAATGATGTCTTTCAATTGAAAAATAATAATAAAAAGGCTAAATGTATTAGTTCAATCAAGGATACTCCTCTTAATTGAATCAAAATAAGTAACCATATTCATTAATTTCCAAGTTCTGTGATGAAATGAATTAACTACCTATTTGTTTTAGTCATGTGTTAAATACATGAAAATATCTATAAGTCCCTCTTTTTTGTTTTTCATTTCTATGGACTTTTCTGCATGCTAGTAGAAAAATATATTATAAAGACAGAAAATGGCAATATGATGAATCCAGTATGTTTTCATGGATCTACAATTTGATAACTCCAGCACAATCAGTTGAAATTTAAAGAATGTGAATTCAGATGATACATTTTCAAAAAATAGTACAGCTGTGATAGGGAATATTCAAAAGAAACATTATTATAACCACATTTAATGATACATGGCAATATGATGACTAATGAGTGTTTTCATTGATCTGATATTTAATAACTCTAGCACAATCAGTTGAAATTGAAAGAATGTGAATTCATATGGTATATTTTTTAAACATAGTACAGTTGTGATGGGAAAATTTCAAAAGAAACATGATAAGAACAAAAAATGACATTATAATGAATCCAGTATGTTTTTGTGGATCTACTTTTATAATAATTCCAGCACAATCAGTTGAAATTGAAAGAATGTGAATTCAGATGATTTACGGGGTGTCCCTGAAAGGTCTGTACAAAATCATACCACAGACTCCTGAGACCAAAATAAAATAATTGAACCAAACTTACTTCTTTACCAAAATGATATGTTTACCTGCAACAGGGCATTGGAATTGAAAGAATATTGTGGAAGAATGCAACACCCTGTATTTTAAATTCATGAGGAAATCTATGCCACATAATGAAAATTATTGATAAATTGATGATGTTATAGGAAAATTATTGTCCAAGATCTCATTATTTGCCAGACCTTCCTTATTTTATAAAAGCTGAAAGTTTCTCAGCCCGTGCTCCCAACACAGGTTAGAACTATGGGTGAAAATGAAGTTGTGGTGATGGTGCCTTCAGGAGGAGGAGCAAAGGTGCTAAAAATACCAACTCAATTTCATCATACTATAAAGGGTATTGTTTAATATTTTATTTCAATAATATTGGAAGGCACCTCATTCATTGCCAAACACATTAACATGGTGCCTACACCTTGCCAGACACCCTTAAATCTTGATGAATTATTGTAACTTGAATTTTGTTAAGGAATAAAAGCTGAATTTTATACTTGTTACTTGGGTAATGATTAGAAGCTGGTTCCTCAGTAGCCAGACCATTCTGGTGGTGCTAACCCCTAGCCAGACAGACATACAGTGGTTTTTTAAAGTACTGAATACATAAATTTTCAGTCAAACTTGATTTCTGAAGAATCTCTTGAAATAGGTTGACTTTTAATTTCAATTTGCCACATTCATACCGGGAAATTGAATAAACAGGGTGATCCACGCGATTATTTCAAATGGAACACCCTATATATTATTTACCAAAAATGAATAGTTTAGACACAAACAAATCCTAAAATTGAAAAATCTTCATTTTGAATACCCTATATCTCTGTAACCACTCCTGCTAGACCCCAAGTGTGATACATTGATGAAATCAGTTCTTCAGGGATCATCTCAGATGATTTTTCAAATTTTGAAATCGGTTAAAAACGAGTGAACTGGAGGGGGGACATTTATGGTGAATCACCCTGTACAACCAATTAGGAAAAGACTGGAAAAATTAGCACAGAAGTTTACTAACAATGAAACTAACTTGCAGATACTTGAACCCAATGCATTCAAAGATACCCTACAGACACCTCAAGACAAAAGTTCCCAGTAAACACCTTGTTGGAATGCATCACCAACATGAAATGCCAAAAAATTTAAAAATATTGAAGACTTTTTTTTTACCTGCATCAAACAATGATTCACATAATAGTTATTTATTATGCAAGATAGATTTTAGGTCCACGTTGAGGGCCAAAATCTAATATTTTTCTCGGGTATAATACACAATTTTTTTCTGACAGGAAAAAGGAAGAGTATCAATATTGAGATTATATTAGATTATATTAAACTCAGAAAATTATCAATGTGAAATTTGAAGTTTTCAATAGTAATGACACCTGCAGGCAACTTCATCATTATTTTGAAGTAATCAAATATCTGTCTAATGCTGTGATTTGATTTTTAAAAATTGTGAATTTAGTGGTTGATTGATGAAAAGTAAATTATGAAAAGTAATATTTTATAACCTGTCAACAGATATGAAATTTCAAGCTTTTTTCCCGTTACAGAAAAAATATGCTTATATTTGTATTTTATACAACAAAACAAATGAAATACAATAGATGTCAACAGGCTGAAACACTCCGGTCGGTGCCAATTGGGTACCCAATAAAGCACTCTTATTATTATTAGCCGAGGGGTAAATCACGGCGAAAAAAATTGTACATCAAACTTCCCATGGGTAAAAACTTCCCAAACTTCCTCAAACTTCCCCGAATTTCCTCAAACTTCCCCGAACTACCCAAACTTCCTCAAACTTCATAAACTTCCTCGAACTTTTCCGAACTTACTCAAACTTCCCCGAACTTCCTAAACTTCCTCGAACTTCCTAAACTTCCTCGAACTTCCCAAACTAATTTATTGATTGATCAACTATCTCAATGAATCCGAGGCAGGCAGATGAGCAACAATTTTCTCTGCGATGAAAAACACTGTATATACCTAACCCATCTAGCGCCTACCTCCTTTGCAGAGAGGGTTTATGAACGCAAAGTTGGTACTCTCCCCTCGCAAGGGTACCTGTCGTGTTCCTATAGAGACATAAAGGTGAATATCTGTCTATCTGTTTGCTCGAGAATCTGGAGAAAAAAAAATCAATATATCGCCTTCCGTACGAACATGGTGATCTTAATTCAGAAAATCGTTCCTTCGGTTCGGCTTGAATGGATGGCTTTCTCGGATTTTGTTTCAAGTATCAAACACTGTGCTTCTCGGATCTGCAACTAAACATCACATATCAAATATCGAATCATATGAATCAAAAATGATTATTATTGGATGCGGTTCATGGATGTTGAATTAGAAACTTACCTGAATATTTTTTGCAACGTTCGTAGTTGGATTGCAACAAATAAGTTTTGTTTCCGAATAGAAGTTTCCTCAGTAGACTTCATCCACATTACGTGGGTTATAATCAAGACCGGGAATGCCAAACACTGTGCTTCTCGGACCTAAAACTGAGTATCAATTTGAAATTCGAATCGTGAGACGAACATGAAATGAAGAGTCTGCATATCGTTTTCAACATTCGTAACTGGAATGCGATATATTTTCGTAATTTATTGATTAATCAACTATCTCAATGAATCCGAGGCAGGCAGATAAGCAACAATTTTCTCTGCGATGAAACACACTGTATATACCTAACCAATCTAGCGTCTACCTCCTTTGCAGAGAGGGTTTATGAACGCAAAGTTGGTTCTCTCCCCTCGTAAGGGTACCTGTCGTGTTTCCATAAAGGTGAATATCTGTCTATCTGTTTGCTTGAGAAACTGAAAAAAAATCAATATATCGCCTCCCGTACGAACATGGTGATCTTAATTCAGAAAAGTATACTCTGGTCATTTTTAGTGAATCGTTTCTTCGATTCGGCTTGACTGGATGGTTTTCTCGGATTTTGTGTCAAATATCAAACACTGTGCTTCTTGGATCTTCAACTAAACATCACATATCAAATATCGAATCATATGAATCAAAAATGATTTTTATTGGTTGCGGTTCATGAATGTTGAATTAGAAACTTACCTGAATATTTTTTGCAACGTTCGTAGTTGGATTGCAACATATAAGTTTTGTTTCCAAATAGAAGTTTCCTCAGTAGACTTCATCCACATCCCCACATTACGTAGGTTATAATCAAGACCTGGAATGCCAAACAGTGTGCTGCTCGGACCTAAAACTGATTATCAATTTGAAATTAGAATCGTGAGACGAACATGGAATGAAGAGTCTGCATATCGTTTTCAACATTCGTAACTGGAATGCGTTATATTTTTGTAATTTATTAATTAATCAACTATCTCAATGAAGACGAGGCAGGCAGATAAGCAACAATTTTTTCTGCGATGAAAAACACTGTAAATACCTAACCCATCTAGCGCCTACCTCCTTTGCAGAGAGGGTTTATGAACGCAAAGTTGGTACTCTCCTCTCGTAAGGGTACCTGTCGTGTTTCCATAGAAACATTATGGTGAATATATGTCTATCTGTTTGCTTGAGAATCTGGAAAAGAAATCAATATATCGCCTACCTTACGAACATGGTGGTCTGAATTCAGAGAAGTATACTCTGGTCATTTTTCTTTGTGGATCGTTCCTTAGGTTCGGCTTGACTGGATGGATTTCTCGAATTTTGTGTCAAGTATCAAACACTGTGGTTCTCGGATCTGCAACTAAACATCACATATCAAATATCGAATCATATGAATCGAAAATGATTATCCAAAGGAAAAAACACAAACACTAAGTCGGTCGACCACAAAGTTTAATTACAAAAAGTTTTTGTGACTAGTTTCGGCTCAAGCAGCCATCTTCAGACACAATATATAGTACCTGTAAAGATATTGGTTTACAAGAATAAAATGAC